GCATTCAGAAATGTTGGCAGTGGGCGCCGTTTGCATCCAAACATGCAGAATCTTTGATTTCTGGCGATCATTCACCTGGAAACTAAGCTAACCGGAACCGACCTCATATGAAGCCCCGATCTTGTAGCCTTATCAAATGGTTTGGTGGTGAAGCTTTATGCATTCTCCACCGTAACATGACAACGGTAGCTGGATATAACTGGACCCCTAGCTTCATTTATTCAAATGACCCTGTTGACAACATTACAGACACAAACAATCAATGCGTGGCATCATACAATACCAGGCCCAAATACCCTCGTCCGACCCGGTATTTAACGCTAGTTTTGCATGCTGGCTTTAGCCAGCACAAACGTGTTGGATACTCATTTATTTTCAGCTTCACTTGTTCCCAACGGTTGGTATGCAAGATACCTTTTTAGATGATATGACTCACTGTCCCCAGGATACTGCACATACTGAGTGATTATACCCGTATTACTTTTCACTGCTACTGCTTGATGAAATGGCTTTTGCCCAAAATTTCTCGCCGGCAATATCCAAATAATTGTTTACCCCGGAAGATTTATCCTTTCTAGACTTTTTCGGGTTCTTTGAGGAAGGTAACATTCAGGTGTTGTCTGGGAAAGTGGCATGTGTTCATATAATTCGTTATTCGAAATACATCATTTCTTATTTCAAAATGATGTTGGTATGAGGTGAAGATCCACGTTAATATCTCCTGAACGTTTCTCATGAAGGGTCGGTGTAGGAGCAGGATAAGTCTCACTTGACTGTGAACATAATCTTCGCGTGTCATTATTCCCAGCCTATAGACCGGCCTTGTATAAGTTAAAGTACGCCTTTGCCCAACTAACCAGTACCTCACCTGCATGCAAGTACTCGTGATGGAAAACAGATGGGGAAACACAATGTGGTAAAAGGTGCTCAGGCAAGTGCTAAAGTAATTTATTCTCGCATCATGAATTGACATGAGGGAAGCCAGTTTGCAGGTATCATTACAGTTATAAATGCTGAAAAATCTACAGGATTTTAGGGTTCTTGAGGGGTACAGAAAGAAGGCCAATAATTTCTATTAAAAATACCTAAGGATCCTGCTACTTATAAAACGAACGGGAAAATATCGGTCTTTGGCCTGTACTGAACGTTAAAGCTTGGATCGTTTTAAGTCATATATTTTTCACCACAGGTGACACCAAGGTACCGCGCAGTCCCGAATTCCATTATAGGCGTCTGATGCGTTTGATCCGTCTTTACAGTGCGGAGTTACGCCAGATAAATGTCTATTTTACCATAAATTCTCATCCTTATAGCTTGAGAGACCAAAAGAACCCACAGTGACGACTTCGAGAATTACTAAGCTTTCATATAGTCATGTAACCCATATGAATATCTGTCCGATGGTCTTCCTGACTGTGGCCGACTGGACTCGATCATGTAACAAACCGTGTGGAGCGAGAAGAGGGGCATACGCTGGCTGGACCGATGAAAAGTCTTATGAAGGAGAGTTGGATTTCGCCAACAATGATGATTTATGTCTAATGTCTTGTCGCACAAACTCGAAGATCTGCAGGTGGAAACTCACAAGTTGGCAGAAGAAGCGAGGTAGAGAAAGAGGATGGGACCTCAGGTGAACGTAGAGAAGACAGAAGTGATGAAGGTACCCAACGAACAAGAACAAGAACAACAACAAGCACCAGTCACCATGAACGGGAGGAAATCTAAAGCAAGCTGTCTCTCTCACCTACCTACGTAGCATCGTCTCAACTATAAGCGGCACAGGCACAGATGAGGACGTCAGAGCAGGATCGGAACAGCAAAGCAGGCCTCCATTAACCTGAAATCAGTGTGCAGATCTACTGCACTGCACTCAGCATAAAGCGTGAACAAAATCCAGATTTTCAACGCTATGTCAGTCAATTTGGTGCTTCTATATGGTTCAGAAACTTGACGCGTTACGGAGAGCACTTCCAACAAACTACAGACATTCATCAACAGCTGCCACCTACGCTCGACACTGAAGATCGGATGGCCAGAATAATAGGAACAAGCAACAAGCAACTCTGGCTGGCAACGAACCAACCAAGTACATACCATCCAACAAATGTGCAGAAGAAAGTGGAGATGGATTGGGCATACTGAGAAAACCATTTGGTGACATCACGTGCCAGGTCCTCGAGTGTATGCCAAATGGGAACCGACGAACTAGGGGTTCGAGAGTGACATGGAGGAGATGGTGTGGGGTAGAAATGAAAGTTTATGAGTTTATATCGTGGAGCTATGTTGGAAAAACTGCGGAGAAGAGAGTGAGATGGCGACGTGCTACTGAAGCGCTATGTTCCACCATGTTCCCAAAGAACTGATAATCATAAAAAATTATATCTGTGGTTTCGGTAGCAGTATTGGCGCTACTTTTCATAGCATAGCCGTCAACTGTGGAGGGTAGCTGTCGTAAAGACTTAGTCAAAATGTCCGATTCAAGTGCTTCCCTTGGTAAACTATTCTATATCTTGGTATATTTTATCTTAGAGAAGTTTCGCCTAGCATTGGGTTGAATCGCTCGATTGCAACTGCTGAGGTTATGTTTCTTAGCCTACATGGGTTTTATTTAATAACCTCATGTCTCCGCGTGCACGATAAGTTTTTCTGTTAAGAAACTTATCAAACGGTATTCGGTTTAGCCTGAGCCTTCGTTCCCACAGTGGCCTACGTCGTAGAACGTTGCATTTAGCGGTATATTTTACGTCGTTACTCGTGTTCTCCTCGTAAGATATCTCTGCACTCCTTCAACCTTCAGTTTGTCCGTAACTCTTATACTTCTGTAGAAAAATAATAATACGCAAGCAGTGGTCGGACCCATGTTTATTCAGGATTACTCTGAATTTGCAATAATAAATCCACCAGTTTGGGTGATTTCGACAGCTGTGTTGATATGTGCTCGGAAAAGGTTACGTTGTTGGAACATCGCAGCCCTAAGTCCTATAAAGACTTCACTTTTGGGAGTGAATACCAGCTTGTCGTTAAGTTTAGTTCAAGAGCGTAGTCACCTGTACATCTTTAGACACATTTTTCTGCGCTGAATTTAAGTCACCAGGTGTTTCCCCATATGCTAACATATCTTGGTTCCTCTTGCATAGAGTTAATAGTCAAGGCTAAATCACTGCTGAAACATGTGTATGTTACTTTCAGGTCGTCAGCATATAGAAGTGGCTTACCTATCATGAAACATTCACATATGCTAGTGATGTGTATTATGAGGAGGAGCGGACCTCTGACACTGCCCTGGGCAACTCCACTGGTTATTGGTTAAGGCTTTGAGATGGTTGAGCCAACTTTGCTTTTTGGTAACTCGCATAGAAAGGATTTTGACCGGTCTAGAAGTGGACTGCAGATATGAAGGGAACTTGACTTATTAATAGGCAAGTTTTGTGGGAATCTGTCGAAGGCTTTGGTGATGTCGAGGTAAATAGTCATCGCTGGCCTTTTCTGCTCCCTTTTGTAGGTGGTCCCGTTCAAGATCGGGATCCTATTTTCAGAAGGCCATATTGTGATGAGTTGATAATGTCAGATTCCAGCAGGTCATCAGACTTTTGGTGTTCACTCGCCTTTTTCATGATCTGTGAGATGACTGGGGCTATGTTAATTGGCCTGGAGTTGCTAACGCTGGTCTTGGCTTCTAACTTATGTTCTGGTAACGTATAAGGAGCTCTCCACCTATCAGGATAGGCCCCACGATCTAATGAGGGGGCGAATATCTTGAGTTCCTATTTACTTTAAATTCCATGCTACTACTACTACTTGTACTGGCTATCTCGATGTCTAGAGCTAGAGGTATGTTAGTACTATTAGGAAACCACTCACTAGAAAATTCACAAATTACTTTTGGGTCGTGTATTGACATAATAGTAATAATAATAACGGTATATGTTCCCGTTGTCTCAAGAAAGCGGTAATACGGGAAAAAATTACAGCGAAAGTTGTCCTACCGAATCTTGACAGATGCAGAGGCTAACAACCAGTTCTTTGTACATGTCAGGTGCCCGCGAGTACAAAAACGGGAAGAAATACAACCACTAGCCAGACACGAATTATATTTTACTGAATCGTGTCATTGTGAAGAAGTTCTTGAGCTGGTGGGATGAAGTACGGTGAACGCGCATCACAGAGTATTACCTCAGTGTGGTGAATGGTGTGAATGCTGGACCGCATGCCTTTAGCGTGGGAAGTCGGTTTAAATTTAGGATATGAGCATCAGTATACGGCACAGATGAACCTTAGGCTGTTGATTTTAGGCAATTACTTGTTACGTTCTACCAGAGTATATGACAGCATGTCAGAGACAAACTTTGTTTCTGAGGGTTGTAAAACCGTTGAACTGTTTTGCTACAGAAGTGGTTCAGTCTACTGGGCCTTTAAAATGGCGGCATGATACCGACTTAAGATGATAGTGGAAGCTGCTCATGATTAGCTGAATTTTCACGTTTTAGCCGCCAATTTTCACCCTCCGTTTACTTGTATACAGGTTGACAACCATGAGGCCTAACAATTCATAGATCTCGAAATTAAAATCCAGATGAGTGAAAGTTTCTTCTATTTTAACATGAGTAACACAAAGGAAATCAACTTTTCCAGGCGAAGAGAAGTCAACTTTTTTAGTTGGCACAGCGAATCACTTAGTCTGGGAATTCTTTGCGGATGGCATGATTGAATTAGGCAGAAGATGTAGAAATTACCATATTTGAAAGCCATGATCGAGCCAAATTAGCGCAAATACTCTTATCTCCCATCGTGGGTAAACGACTGGAATTCCTTACGTTGGCAAATAGTATTAGTACCTTCAGTCACCACCTTCATGGGGTAAATAGATTTTTACAGCGATATCTTTCGCAAGGGTTAATACAGGAAAGCTGACCTATAATTCTTCTTATTAAAAATTTAAACTTTAGCACTGTCAGTTACTTTTAACCAAGAAAACTGGAAGGTCAGCATCGGAGCGCAGAGTAAAATACTCTAAAACACGTTTAAAGGTTGGAGTGGTCAACGTTAACTCAAACCATCAGTGGTTTGTTATTATGCCCATCAAAAGGGGCCACATTGCACCACATAATACGTACATTGTTACGCTTATTAGAAATTTCGATTCCCAGTGTAAGTTTTTTCGATTTTATTTTATTTTCCAAAAGTCGAGAACTTCATCGTTGCAAACGCATCGCTGCCATCTAGACCAATCATATACTGTAGCGATGGGCTTTGTGACCTTCTTCGGTATACAAAGGGCCAGCTTATGCTCAAGTCCTCTGCCCTGTCTGTATTTTATGGACCTGAGACCACTCCTGGATCCATGGAGGCATTATTGGCAGCTTTAAATCAAACTAACGAAACTGAAATATTTATGAATCTCTATTCCAGAGACAGTAGTTAATGTCTATTTTATAACCTATTCTAGACTGTCTTATATCATTTCGTATAGTAGTAACTCCCGTTCGAGATGAAACAGGTGGATTACCTTTGTACCTACTTTTTTTCAGAGAAGAGGTCATTGACGCTCAAACACCAACTAACAAAAGTAATTCACTAGTTTTATTTTGATTTTTCCTTAGGACATAGTTTATATACACGATGGCAATTAAAATCACTCCGCGTAAGCAAAAGCCCTAACCATGTACCAAAATCTTGCAGTAGAACAAGTATACCAAGTACTCACTTTAGCTTTTGTAATTGGCCTTATAGAGTCTCTTAAACCCTCTGTTCTGGCTTTTAGAAGACACCTCAAATACAAAAAGGATGAAGCATCAAGCCTGAAGCTGAATCCGTTAGTTGGAGGTAAGTTATAATTTTATTGGGTGTGATGTGTTCATTCAGCGGTGTTAAGGCTTTCCGTGGATTGCTTTTGGGGTTGAAACCATAAAGTCTTGTCTTTAAGTGACTTTGGGTTATCGGCTGCATTCTTGGGCTAATGTAAAATTTCGAACATGGGATTCATGGCGGACGGACGTCATTTGGAGAACTACTGAAAACCTGGAAGCACTGAGTGGGTGTTTTATCATAGTACAGAACTTTTCACGGCACCTCTCGATGAGTCGATCTCAGGGTCGTCAGATCGCGTGGTGAGCGCGTTATTATTCAGTCCATGGACTTCAAATGGTTGGTGGCGGAATCTAAAATCACAGGACCACTAGTTCCTATTTTTCAAAAGTCTAGGTGTAAAAACAAAAACCAAATCAAAGGACGAGGTTTTTAATGACTTAAACTACTAGCTCAAACCGTGACCCTAAGTGGAGTTTGTGTTTGAAGGACTGGTGATGTAGTCTGTACAAACTCTACGGCGAGACTATTGCATACCTTGAAAAATCCTAGGGAGTGAGAGTTATGCCGGATGTCCACCCCACTGTGTTCAAGTTCTAACTTCTGGGTGTTTTGCGTAACATTCATGTCGGCGCCCAGCTTAGGCAAATGATTAAGTGGTTGATGTAAGTATTTAAAATGTACGTTATTGTTCAGTCACCTCATCCATCGATATTCCAAGGAATATAGGTTGAGTGTTGCTATGAGTTCCAATTATGGCTTGAACCTTAGTCTACAAACTGATTTGGTCGTATAGTTGGTTTTTATCTTTTGGAGAAAGGACTATTGATCCGAATTCCTGGTAAAGTTGTACTGAATTGTCAAATACTTGGTGGACACACCCGTGGTCGAAATGTCCAAAGATTCGTCGCAGGGTTACAAGTGCCAGATTTATATGGAATGCATTTTTGTTGTTGTTCGTATAATATTAAAGGTTATGGGGAACTAGGACCTCAAGATCCTTTTGTAACAAAGATGCCTTCAATTTTGCTTCGTTGAGTTTGAATGTAACACATTATACCGTATATATAGCCTTACTATTTTGTGAATTGTAGGTTCGCCAAGTATAATCTTAATTTTAAAGTTGGTTCATATCCTCTTGCAAAGTGCTCTTGTTGTCATATCTGGTTTCCCTTCATAGCTTCACACCACCAGTAAATAAATTTGCCTACAAATCCAGAAGGAGTACTTTGGATGCTACAGTTGCTTCTCATCATAATATCATTGGTAATTTAAACAAAGGTGGTATGTCAGATCTGGCTTCATAGCATACACTTCTGCCTTTAGTTCTCTCCTAGACCCCTTTTATCAAACAAGTTTTCCAGAACTCACATTGAGTCCTGGATTGCAAGCTGGTTTGATTCTTATTTTCCTGCGAGAAGGTAGTACACTCCATACAGAGGTGAGCGCTCTACTCCGCTACTTAGTCAAGTCGGTGCACCTCAAGATGCTGTTTTTTCCCCTTTTCGTTTTGGATAACTTAACAGCCTCAAATAAAGCTAGCTAAGTATGTAGATGACCTGACTATCCGTATCGATCATCTCTTCAGATCGTTCTCAGTTTAATAACTTCTTAACTGGAATTGGTCACTAGTCTTCTTTGTATGGCCTCACACTCAATCCTTCCAAATTTCAGGTGGTCAATTCCAGCTTAAGACGTTACCAAGAATTTTGTAAATTGCTTCAGTCTCATAACTCGTCTTTTAGATGGCTCTCTTGTAGAGAGTGTAACAAACATGATCCATCTTGGCTTGTGCTTTTCTTCTGATCTCCTCTCCTCATATCTTAGTGATTTCCAGAGAAACCCTTCACTTGACCTTTTATATGGGGGGAACTCTGTCTGGCACAACAACCTCTACTCTTACGTTTCAGTAATTCCAGTGTTTTGCTTATACTTGCTGTTTCCCCTTTTTCTTTCCTGGACTCCGGAAAATGACCATTGTATTGTATAGAATTTTGAAGACTGTTGGTAGAGTGAGTGGTGCACCAGTAATCGTGCCAATAAATGCGGTCGTTGGTAGGCATCTGAAGTCCGTATCCAAGACCCGCTGACTCCAACCCAGGACAAATAAAGAAGAAGACTGAACTGAATGAGAGAATTTAATCCTCTGAGAATAATAATCAATCAACCCAGACACACGTGTGTATGTATGCACATGATATATGCAAATCTGGGGCCTCCCAACAAAGAGGCCGTAAAACTAAACCCTGTTGAAATTCATGAATATCAACATAAGGTCAGGCATTACTGGGCAAGGGTCCAAGCTGCCACACCCCATATCAGTACATCAAGAAACGAAGTAACAAAAAGAAGGGAGAAAGGAACATCGGTCAGATGCAGTAGAAAGTAGCAAAAGAGACGAGGGAGGAGTGAGCAAATACTGAATTCACTATAGTGGTTAGGATGAAAATGATTGAGGGGGTAGAATAGATGTTATATACCTCGCTTTTTCAAGGGTTTCGATAACTCCAGCAAGTTGGCGTTAATAAGAATCAATTTACCGTTAATTGATCTGTCATCATCATGTTTAAACGACTACGTTTTTGAGGTTCTTCCACTTCCAAAGAAACGACATTTCCTGTGAAACTTCACTTAAGCATCTTTGAACGTAGGACCTTAAAAAAATGGTCGTTTAAACATAATGAAAGCAAATCAATTGACGCTAAATTGATTCATATTCACCCGAACTTGTTAATAAGTCATTTGTAATTGTGGTGATGAAAACCGTAAAAAACGAATTATGTAACAAGTAGTTTCTTTCGGCAATCAGATATGCTAACTAAACTATCTACTTCATTTAGTGATAAGTGAATACCCTTTCTAAAATCACGCCGGGTGGGGTGCCAAAAATTTAATGGATGTGAAGTAATTGCGTGAACTGTCTTAGACTATCGACTCCATCCCTTTTAAAGGCGTAAGTAAAAGACACAAGCCAGTAGTTGTCGGACTGCTTCGTTAACCACCCTTAAAGATAGGTGTGACATGACCTAACTTCTAAAGTTCAGGAACTATTTCCTGGTTAGGAGAATATGTGAATAGTCTACTGAGCACTTCACCAAGATATGAGGTCATTTTCTGAGGGACACTAGCATAGATTTTATCTGAACCCGAAGATCACCAGCTTATGATGTACATGATTAACACTCAGTTGACAACCGTGCTGCTTCTATGGTACGCTTATACATTTGTGTAAATGCAGTCGACAGCAAGAACATTGTAAATCTTGACCAGGCAAAACATCAGCCCACTGGGACCCATCAGGTGGGAAAATCCTGCCTTGACGTTGTAGGATGATGTTGCATGGCGAGAAAGGCTTTATGAATTTAATACAAGCCTATTGGTGAGGCAGAGTCAATCGGTGGCGATGTTTTTCATCTCTCAGTGTCGTAGTGCGATGACTTACCGTTTTCTTGAACTGTTCGCCAGGAAACTCAGCTATTTTCTCTAACCACAGAAGCTTAAGGTTGTGTTTGGGCATCACCTTGTATTGTTTGTGACACTTAGGAGTACAACAGACTTACATGATTTCATCTTGTGAATTTTCAGTGGCTGTCTATTTCCTACCAATCACTGTTAGTCTCCCAGGCTGTCCATTCCAGAGCCTTCTGAAGGGCTACAAGGTCAAGTAGTCTGAAGTTCTGGTGATATTAGTGGGTGGGACGAGTCAGCTCTGTTTGCAGACATACTGAAATCTGATAACAACATGGTAGCTCTTGCTCAGTGGAGGGAGGATTGCAAAGTTGATCACTCGTTTTTGAGGATGGTTATTTCTCCATCTAATTACTAATTTCACGTTTTTCAACAAGATTAAAATATTGAGCTTCAGTTTAACCGTTGCTTCCACTTTATGTGCGGTCTACAAAATTGATTATGCATAACCCCACTAAACACCTTGGGGTCATAAATAGTTTTACAGAACACATATCGATACCCCTTGGCAGTCTAACTTTCGGCTATGCATTTGGTTAGTTCCGAGAGAGGTAAAGTAGAGACCCACCTCTTCCCATTTTTTTGGGGTGTTATGGTTTCAAAACAGTATAGTTTTTGGAAAAGCCGGTTTTGACCTGAGACTTGGGATGAAACTCATGCTTCGGTAATACCAATGAATGAGCAGTAAATGGCACCTAATTTACGTAGGTCATCGGCTTTTTAACCTAAGCTGGACACACTTGTGTAAATGCAATTACTAACCTCTACTTAAAACGGGTTTAGTAGCGTTTCAGTAATATCCAATGTGTTGTGTGAAAGATCAAAAACATGAATCGGAAGCTGACTGAAGTACGATCTGCTGTTAGATAGATCTCTAACCCATTCTCCACTTTTTAGTGTTAGGCAACCTATCGTAGAATAAACTAGTTTTTTTTTTTCTATTCCCTTGAAGCTATTAGTTCTATACCTCATTGCAAAGCATGTTGACTCCAGGTTACAGACGATGCCTGCTTTGCAGGAAGCTTCCAGTGTAACTACCATCAGTAGGGCAGATGGGAAAATCAATTTAATTAGCCTAGGTCTTCAGTCCTCATGCTTTCTAGCTGTATGTGACAGTTTCTGTGTGATTACATTATTATTATTATTAGTCCCTTGGGTTCCTAGTGGAACATAGGGCTTCAGTAGCACGCCTCCAGTGACCTCTGTTCTCTGAGATCTTTTGAACCTGGTTCCACGACAGCCCAGAAGCTCTCATTTCCTCCTCGCATGACCTCCTCCATGTCACCCTCGGACGTCCAACTCGTCGCTTCCCATGGGGATTCCACTCGAGGGCCTGACGCGTGATGTCCTCAGTCGGCCTTCTCAGTGCATGGCCAATCCATCTCCACTTCCTCCTGCATATTTGTTGCGTGATAGCTTCTTGGTTGGTTCGTTCCCAGAGTTCCTTGTTGCTTATTTTTTCTGGCCATCTGATCTTCAGCAGCGAGCGTAAGCAGTTGTTGATGAATGTCTGTAGTTTATTGGAAATCCCTTTCGTGACGCGCCAAGTC